GCTTAAATATTTCAATAAATTTATTTTAGTTTTGGACTGACTCTTTTAAGTCAGAACATGATTTGACCTGTTTAAAACAAAATACATTTAATATTGAATATACCAAATAAACTTTTTTATAGTCCTCATTGACTTATGGGGACTTTATTCTCTCTGTCTTTTATCTGGCTCACCCATACATTTTAAAATTAATATGACAATACTATACTTAAAAGTTGTAATAAGTTTAGTTTTGTTTGACTCTTTGAAGTCAGAACATGATTTGACCTGTTAAAGTCAGTTTACAGAACAAAATTTCCTATCAAAGCTAGGTGTACTTCCTTTAAGCCCTGCTTCTGAATCTGCCATTTTCAAGTTTATTATTTGATAATTTTTTAGAAACAATTAAGTCAAATGGTTATTTATTTTAGGGGATCTTACATATATTTCCTGTGTCTTTTATCTGACGTTCCCATACATTCATTAAATAACATATGGCAATGCCCGGCTTATATATTTCAATAAATTTATTTTAGTTTTGGACTGACTCTTTTAAGTCAGAACATGATTTGACCTGTTTAAAACAAAATACATTTAATATTGAATATACCAAATAAACTTTTTTATAGTCCTCATTATTGTGACTTATGGCGGCGACCTTATTTCCTCTGTCTTTTATCTGGCTCACCTATATATTTTTAAATCAATATGACAATACTAGACTTAAAAGTTGTAATAAGTTAAGTTTTATTTGACTCTTTGAAGTCAGAACATGATTTGACCTGATAAAGTCAGTTTACAGAACAAAATTTCCAATCAAAACTGGTCTTTTCCTCTAAGCCCCCCCCTAATCTGAATCTGCTACTGTTGAGTTAATTAATTGATAAGTTTGTTTAGAAACAATTCAGTCAAATGGTTTTTAAAATAATATTTTTTATAACCAAAAGTTCCATATGTCATGTATGTTAACTTAACAGAAAAAAAAGTCATGAAAATGCAGAAATAGAATAAAATTTTAAGATAATTTGATGAAATTTGTAAACAAAATACATTTGAATATTAAATATACCAAATAAACTTTTTTATAGTCCTCATTATTGTGACTTTATTATTGGGTGTCTTTTATCTGATTTTCCCATACATTCTTAAATGCATATGACAATTCCAGACTTAAAAGTTGCAATAATTAGTAAAAGTATAGTTTTTGACTGACTCTTTGAAGTCAGAACATAATGTGACTTGTTCAAGGCAGTTTGCACAACATGATTTACCTCAATGAAATATTAAGATATCAAATATATACCAAATAAACTTTTATATAGTTCTAAAAATTGTGACTTAATATTTGTGATCTTTTTTCCTACTTGTATCCATACATTCTAACAATCACATCACAATCATGACAATGCCCGACTGTTACAGTTGCAATCCATTTAGTGTTTGACAGACTCTTATAAGTCAGAACATGATTTGACCTGCTTGAGTCAGTTTACAGAACAAAATTTCCAATCAAAGCTAGGTGTTCTTCTTCTAAGCCCCCCCCTCCTAAATATGAATCTGCTTCTGTTGAGTTAATTAATTGATAAGTTTTTTTAGAAACAATTCAGCCAAATTGTTATTAAAATATTTTTTTTTTTGGCAACCACAAGTTCTATGTGTAAACTTAACAGAAAAGAAAAGTCATGAAAATACAGAAATAAAATAAAATTTTAAGATAATTTGATGAAAATCTTTAAAAACAAAATGCATTTGATATTGAATATACCAAATAAACTTTTTTATAGTCCTCATTATTGTGACGTAAGGGGACCTTATTTCATCTAGCTTTTATCTGGCTTTCCCATACATTTTAAAATCAATATAAAAATCCTAGACTTAAAAGTTGAAATAAGTTTCTCTTTGAAGTCAGAACATGATTTGACCTGTTAAAGTCAGTTTAAAGAACAAAATTTCCAATCAAAACTAGGTCTTCTTCCTCTAAGCCCCCCCCCCCCCCCCCCCACCCCAACCCCCTTTTTTCCATTTATCTGAATCTGCTACTGTTGAGTTAATTAATCATGTTAATTGATAAGTTTTTTTAGAAACAATTCAGTCAAATGGTCTTTAAAATAATATTTTTTACAACCAAAAGTTCCATGTGTTAACTTAACAGAAAAGAAAAAGTCATGAAAATACAGAAATAGATTAAAATTTTAAGATAATTTGATGAAACTTGTAAACTAAATACATTTGAATATTACATATACCAAACAAACTTTTTTATAGTCCTCATTATTGTGACTTTATTATTGGGTGTCTTTTATCTGTTTTTCCCATACATTCTTAAATGCATATGACAATGCCAGACTTAGAAGTTGCAATAATTAGTTAAAGTATAGTTTTTGACTGACTCTTTGAAGTCAGAACATAATTTGACCTGTTTAAAACAAAATACATTTAAATATTGAATATACCAAATAAACTTTTTTATATAATCCTCATTATTGTGACTTTAGGGGACCTTATTTCCTCTGTTTTTTATCTGGCTCTCCCATACATTTTTAAATCAATATGACAATACTAGACTTAAAAGTTGTAATAAGTTTAGTTTTGACTGACTCTTTGAGGTCAGAACATGATTTGACCTGTTAAAGTCAGTTTACAGAACAAAATTTCCTATCAAAGCTAGGTGTACCTCCTTTATTCCAAGAAAGTCCTTGCTTTCAGACTGCTTCTGAATCTGCCATTTTCTAGTTTATTATTTGATAATTTTTTAGAAACAATTAATTCAAATGGTTATTTATTTTAGGGGATCTTAACATATATTTCCTGTGTCTTTTATCTAACATTCCCATACATTCATTTAATATCATATGGCAATGCCCGGCTTAAATATTTCAATAAATTTATTTTAGTTTTGGACTGACTCTTTTAAGTCAGAACATGATTTGACCTGTTTAAAACAAAATACATTTAATATTGAATATACCAAATAAACTTTTTTATAGTCCTCATTATTGTGACTTATGGGGACCTAATTTCCTCAGTCTTTTATCTGGCTTACCTATACATTTTTAAATCAATATGACAATACTAGACTTAAAAGTTGTAATACGTTTAGTAAGTCAGAACATAATGTGACTTGTTTGAGTCAGTTTGCACAACAGTATTTACCTCAATGAAATATTAAAATAATAAATGTTTTGCTCTTAATACATTTAGCTTAAAGTGGATGAGAATATATCTTTTATTAACATAGTCTTATCATGAATAAGTGTCTTATTTTTCCTTGGAAGGTTTGAAGTATTGTCATGGTACTAGTAAATGTATCCAATATTGTAATTTGTAAATCTTTTGATATTCAGAAAATTGTATGATCCGTTTTTTCTCACCTGGTTTTTCTTTGTATTTTGAAATAATTGAAAGTGATGAGATAAATATATTATGTTTAGATTCTGGAAAGGAGAAGGTATGATGTCAGATGAGCCCCACTTTTTTAAAACTCTTTAATTAAACTAGTAATCACCATATCTTTATGGAGATTGATAACAAAGTGGTAGTAATGACTGCTTCAAATCAGAACAAAAATGACCTCTCGAAGTCAAAATGCATTAAAAAGGGGTATAAATCTTATTAGAATATGAAGATATTAAGTCACAATATTTTGTGCAAAAGCTGACCTGTGGAAGTCATTTTATGATAAATTAAAGTCTGACATAAACTGACCTGTACAAGTCATATTCTGTTGAGTGCAAGAAGGAAGACAACACTTACATCAAATTATATCTGACCTATGGAAGTCATTTTATTCTGACTTGTTTATGTCAGAGCTCTGACTGCCAAGTGTTCAGATCATATCAACCTGTTCATTTATCAATAATATTAAAATCATTTTGAAAGGCTTGAATACTAACTTTATTTGGCCAAATAATTCCACTTTTTATACCTCCTCTTTCAAAAGAGGTAGGGCCAATTAATCCTGAATTTAATTCAAACTAAAACTCTTTACAAAAAGACTTTCAATGGTTACTTAAATTTTCAATATCACATACTTTGAGGTTCAAGCAATATAATGGGTTTTTTTTTCAAAAAATAGTACATGTAGTATGACCAAATTATCAATGCCTTAATTGAAGATACATTTTGGCAAAGTTTGAGTATTACAATGTAATAAAAAAAATAATAGAAAAGGGTATTCTCAACCAAAACTCTATTGAAATAATTCTATAAAGAGTCTTTCAAATACAAATTAATTCATTTCAGTAAATGATGTCCTTCAATACAAAATTTGAAAAAGTTTATAAAATTTGCAATATTACATCAAAATGTAGTGCTTAATAACATTTTGAATTGATGGAAATATGCCAAATTGTTGGAAAATATTGAAAATTTATATCTTGCAGACTTTAATTTTCAAATTCCAATAGGGTTTCGAAATTTTTTGTTTTCATCAAGGTGAGTGAAACAAAGACAGGAGAAACTGGCCCTACCTCTTTGACTCAAATAAAATTATCTTAGAAAACAAAAATTATGAAAACAAGTACATTACATTGAAGAAGGTATAACATAACATTATAGCTGAATATAGCTGACTGTAGATATTTCTCGATGGGATCCCATAATTATGAATCTCTTTCAATCTTAACTCTAGAGTCTTAAATAAAGAAGCCATAAAAAAGGGATGCATAGCTAAACTATTAGAGAAAAGGCTGCCTATAGTGATTTCTGTGTATCCTATAACAATATACTATATTGTAAGTGAATTGGATAAAGTAAAAACAGGGTATGAAAAGACAGACAGGCTGATTCTAATTAATTATCAAAATATTGTTTCAAGGAATATATCAACTATTCTATAGCACTATAATTCTATAAATAATACTTCTGTTCATCTTAAATCTATTAATCTTTACTTGCACATATTTTGATACTAAAACATTTGAAGCTCCCAATCAAAGTTCAATTGCTAAAAAAGGATTTTGCAAGTTGCTTATTTTGTTTTATTATATGATTTATTGTGAAAAAAACATTCATTTACCTACAGCAAAGAATAGACGTAACTCTTCAGCATCTAAATTCCAGTCATTTATGTGAGAACCAATCTGAACACCTTTAAAGCCTAAAAATAAATTTTCTGTTAATTGTAAACATATATCATGTAGATATTTCATGGCAAGAATATGATCAAATTTAAGTGTTTTTTTGATTATCAGATTTGGCAATATTTTAGCTATTGTTGAACTCTGTACAAAAGTCGTAATTTCAGCTACTGGGTACTCTGTAGAAAAAGTCGTAATTTCAGTATGCTAATAATTAGACTTATACTTGACAAGGATATAAAATATATATATAGCTAGTGTCAATTACTTTTCTGCATATTTCTAATATGATCCAACTTAAAACATGTTGACTGTGTTGGCTGATAAATTTGAATCAACATATCAAAACTCAGGCAACGCTTCACTATGATCTCTCTAGGTAAATCTTGTTTAAAATGGTGTTCTACAAAAATCATACCGTATCTCCTTATTCTTAAACTAACAAAGACAAGAGTGCGCACGCTGAAATGTCTCGTCTACTATACTGACCATTGATTTTATGTTGATAGTCCTACATATAAAGTTTTACTACAAGTATCACATTAACATTTATGATCCAAGAAAATGAGGTCAAGGTCAGATAAACCAAGTTGGAAATACATGTACACCTTTAATACAATCATTCCATACACAGAATATAGATGACCTATTGTTTATAGTATAAAAGAAACAGACCAAACCATGGAAATTCTATATTGACCAATTAACCATGAAAATGAAGTCAAGGTCAGATGAACCCTGCCAGACAGAATTGTACACCCTTAAAATCATTCCATGCATCAAATATAGTTGACCTATTGCTTATAGTATCTAAGAAACAAAGTTAACCAGGAAAACTGAACATTGACCAATGAACCATGAAAATGAGGTGAAGGTCAGATGATACCTGCCAGACAGACATATACACCTTACAATCATTCCATACACCAAATATAGTTGACATATTGCTTAAAGTTTAAGAAAGACAGACCAAAACACAAAAACTTATTATAAGCAATGAACAATGAAAATGAGGTCAAGGTCAAATCAAACCTGCCAGACTGACATGTACATCGTAAAATATTTCCATACACCAAATATAGTTGACCTTTTGCATACAGTATTATGAAAACAGACCAAAACACAAAAACTCAACATTGAGCAATGAACCGTGAAAATGAGGTCAAGGTCAAATAAAACCTGCCAGATTGACATGTACATTGTAAAATATTTCCATACACCAAATATAGTTGACCTACTGCATACAGTATTAGATAAACAGACCAAAAAACAACAAGAGTGCACACGCTGAAATGTCTCGCCTTCTTTACTAACCATTGATATTATGTTGATAGTCCTAAATATAAAGCTTTACTACAACTATCAATCTTACAATCATTCAATACACTAAATATAGTTGACTTATTGCTTATAGTTTCTAAGAAACAGACTTAACCAAGAAAACTAAACATTGACCAATGAACCATGAAAATGAGGCCAAGGTCAGATGAACCATGCCAGGCAGACATGTACACCTTACAATCAACCTATGCATTAAATATAGTTGACCTGTTGCTTATAGTATCTAAGAAACAAACTAAACCATGAAAACTTAACATTGACCAATGAAACAACAAAATGAGGTCAAGGTCAGATGACACCTGCCAGTTGGACATGTACACATTACAATCATTCCATACACCAAATATAGTAGACCTATTGCGTACAGTATAAGGATAAACAGCTGCGCCACGAGCGCATGATACACCTGTCGTCTTGTGTGTGAGGTTTTATGCAATAATCATTAATCGTTTCTAAGATACGGTGCGACATGTGAAAACCCCCCTTTTTTTATAAAAAAATCAATAACTCTAAAATAAAATTTTGAATCATCACCAAAAAGTATACAGATCTTGAGATTAATATAATTAAGAAGTGTGTAAAGTTATAAGCAATAATCATAAATCGTTATTGAGATACGGCGCGAAATGTGAAACTCCCCCTCCCCCCCCCCCCCCCTTTTTTACAAAAAACTCAAGAACTCTAAAATAAAATTTTAAATCATCATCAAAAAGTATACAGATCTTTAGATTAATATAACTAAGAAATGTGTAAAGTTTTAAGCAATAATCATAAATCGTTTTTGAGATACGGCGTGACATGTGAAAAAAACACCCCCCTGTTTTAGTTACAAAGTCCCGTAACTCAATAAGTTTTAATCTTGTTTTCACCAAAAAGTATACAGATCGTTTGACCATCATAAGAAACAACTATGTTAAGTTTCATGAAACTTGGATAAGTCGTTCTCAAGTTACGGTGCGACATGTGGACACCGGACAGTCGGACAGACGGACGCCGGACATTTGTATACCATAATACGTCCAGTCAAAATTTTGACAGCGTATAAAAACAGACCAAAACACAAAAACTTAACTATAACCACTGAACCATGAAAATGATGCCAAGGTCAAATGACACCTGCCAGTTGGACATGTACACCTTACAATCCTTCCATACACCAAATATACTAGACCTATTGCTTATAGTATCTGAGATATGGACTTGATCACGAAAAATTAACCTTGTTCACTGATCCATGAAATGAGGTTGAGGTCAAGTGAAAACTGTCTGACCAGGGTCCGACACTTACGGTTGTCCGATTGCCCGGGGCAAGCTAATGCCGTATTCGGACAAGTAAAAACATCATCTTGGTTGTCCGATCGTGCAAGTGAAAAAAAAAGTGTTATATGATTAAAATTTCACAAAATCAATAGTGTCTGTTGTTTTGTCCATAGACTACTCAGTGATAACACCGCACGGTCGATTAAAGTGGTCTTAACCCCCCTTCAATGCGTATATTTCGTCAATTGTTTGCACTGAATTCCCCATTTTACCAAAAGTAGATCACGTTTAAAAATATTGGCCAATCAGGCGGCCGCGGCCTTGCTTCGTCATTATCATTATCCATCGGGACACCACTCGGGCGTTTCCGACGCACGTGTTATTCCCACCGACCAATGGAAAGCGGAGGTCTATTTTCGTTGTTCTAACTTTATAATTGACATCGGATGTGTATTTCCCTAAGATGGAAAAAGGTAAAAGCTTGAAAGAGAAAATGAAATTAAACTTTAACAAATTTGTCAGTTGTTGTCAGTTTATCAAGAAGGGTTATTTGAAATGGCATTTCTTAGATAAATTATTATGAAATAAGTATCTCTATGTAAATGATCCAATTCCCGTATATTCATCGATCTTTTCCCTCCCTCCTCGGCTCATATATGCCTCATAGTATATTTTCATACTCCATAATCAATTTACACCCCATATACATGATAACTATATTTTATCTGCATGTACTACATTACAACCACAAAAAAAGCATGTAAAAGTTTGGGCATGTAGATTTCACTTTCGGACAAGTAAAAGTAATAGGGCACTTGCCCAACTGGACAAGTTGGTATAAAAGTTAATGTTGAACCCTGCTGACGGGTATAAGGACCTTGCAAGGTACGCACATACCAAATATATTTATCCTATTACTCATAATAAGAGAGAAATTAACATTACAAAAAATCTTAACTTTTTTTTCAAGTAGTCACTGAACCATGAAAATGAGGTCTAGGACAATGGACATGTGTTAGACAGAAACTTAATGAAAGAACCTTAGTGAGCACGCTCACATACCCCACGTCCCCACATTGTCATTGGAGAAATAAAATAAGTGTAAGAAAAAAAAATTGAATCATAATTTCCTGTCAATATGCACATCTACATAGTATGTCCTTATTATCTACACAGTTTCATGAAATTCTGTTGTGTGGTTTGAGAGGAGTTGCGATGACAAAAGGTTGCAGTAGTATATTGGGCAAATAAGTTCAAAGGGGCGTAACTCCTGGAAAAAAAATTGAATCGTAATTTCCTGTCGATATGCACATCTACGTAGTATGTCCTTATTATCTGAAAAGGTTTCATGAAATTCTGTTGTGTGGTTTGAGAGGAGTTGCGATGACAAAAGTTTGCAGTAGTATATTGGGCAAATAAGTTCAAAGGAGCGTAACTCCTGGAAAAAAAATTGAATCGTAATTTCCTGTTGATATGCACATCTATGTAGCATGTCCTTATTATCTGAAAAGGTTTCGTGAAATTCTGTTGTGTGGTTTGAGAGGAGTTGCGATGACAAACTGTTGCAGTAGTACATTAAAGTAAATAAGTTCAAAGGGGCGTACTCCTAGAAAAAGAATTGAATCGTAATTTCCTGTCGATATGCACAACTACATAGTATGTCCTTATTATCTAAAAAGGTTTCGTGAAATTCTGTTGTGTGGTTTGAGAGGAGTTGCAATGACAAGAAACAGGACTGACGGACTGAGGGACGGACAGACCGACGGATGGACAGACGGACGTACGGACAGATGGATGGACGGACGGACAGGTCAAAAACATTATACCCTCCGCAACTCGTTGCGTGGGGTATAATAACATAAGGCATCTATATGCAAAGTATGAAGCATCCAGGTCTTCCACCTTCTAAAATATAAAGCTTTTAAGAAGTTAGTTAACGCCGCCGCCACAGGATCACTATCCCTATGTTGAGCTTTTTGCGACAAAAGTCGCAGGCTCGACAAAATCTTAACATTGAGCAATGAACCGTGAAAATGAGGTCAAGGTCAAATAAAACCTGCCAGACTGACATGTACATCCTAAAATATTTCCATACACCAAATATAGTTAACCTATTGCATACAGTATTAGAAAAACAGACCAAAACACAAAAACTAAACTATTACCACTGAACCATGAAAATGAGGTCAAGGTCAGATGACACCTGCCTGTTGGACATGTACACCCTACAATCATTACATACACCAAATATAGTAGACCTATTGCTTATAGTATCTGAGATATGGACTTGACCACGAAAACTTAACCTTGTACACTGATCCATGAAATGAGGTCAAGGTCAAGTGAAAACTGTCTGACAGGCATGAGGACCTTGCAAGGTACGCACATACCAAATATAGTTATCCTATTACTCATAATAAGAGAGAAATTAACATTACAAAAAAATCTTAACTTTTTTTTCAAGTAGTCACTGAACCATGAAAATGAGGTCAAGGACAATGGACATATGACAGACGGAAATTTCACATCATAAGACATCTATATACAAAGTATGAAGCATCCAGGTCTTCTACCCTCTGAAATAATAGGCTTTTAAGTAGTTAGCTAACGCCGCTGCCGCCGCTGTTGCCGCCGGATCACTATCCCTATGCGAGCTTTCTGCAACAAAAGTCGCAGGCTCGACAAAAATTCAACGTTGACCATGTTAACCAATGAACCATGAAAATGAGATCAAGGCAAAATGAACCCTGCAATATGGACATGCACACCTTACAAGTATTGAACAGGGGGTCCCATTATTCCCACTTCTACACCCCAAACTCCCAATTCCCTCCCCCTTACTCCCAGATGAAAATAGGTAAAAAAAACTTTTTCAACGTTTTCCTATTTTTATCCCCCCAGGTTCCCACACCCGACTCTCGCTTCACACCTCCTCATTCCCATGTTCCATTTCCCCTGTCTACCTCCACCTTACAATCATTCCATACACCAAATATAGTTAACCTATTGCTAAAGAATCTGAGAAACATGAAAAATTCAGGAGTTTAAGGGTTAAGCTCAATACACATATTTAAATAAATAAATGATGTGTTCAGGTATTACACAAGTCTAAATATTTTTTTCAGGTTTCTTTTCCTATTAATTTAAGTGTTTACCTAATTCGTATTTACATCTTTTCATTTCCTTGATGGCCAGATCTGGTGCTTGCATTGGTAAGGTACCTAATCCTATAAAGCGTGTTGGATGAGCTTTTACTGTCTGAGCTAAATCATCATTTATGATCTGACAAAGGTCTAACGTATCTTCTGGCTTAGCCTATAATTGCAGAAGAATATGTCATAGCAAACACAGGACTCAAAACTTGACTTTTATTTCCCTTCAAAAAAATGTGTAAACCTAGCTTCTATACCATAAATCAAAGAATGTATAGTTATGGTATTATTTGGCGCTGTAAATATGTGTATTATAAATTCAAAAACCATAAAAGCCATATGGCTACATTAAAAGTATTTGTTTTTCAAATTGTGTTTATCATCAGTTTTTTATTTGTAATGACATTTCACCTTATTATATTCATGATATATAGATGTCAGTGATCATTTTGTGCTAACACCATCAAAATAAAAGAATTTTGAAGACAAATAATTTCAGTGATAATTGAGCACAATTGAAATAAAATGCTCCACTGGGGCGCAGCTTGATACGACCGCAGAGGTCGAACCCTGAACAGTTGGGGCAAGTATGGACACAACATTCAAGCTTGATACAGCACTGAATTTGGATTGTAATTAAATATTTGACACAGCATAGGTTTCTGACACAGAATGAATGTGATCTACGAACTTAAAAAATTTTAATTTACCTTTTCAAACCATATCATTATTATTTGCTTTTATATATAAATCAGAAATAACCAATTTAAAATGGAAAATTTTAACATGTTTAAAGAAAAAAAAGTTGAAAACAAGTTATTGTCTGGAAACTAGAAAAATGCTTGTTTTTTTGCCCCTTTTAGCACAATAACCCCCAAACTCAAACCCAGCTTTCCCTTTGTGATATGGAACCTTGTAGTACAATTTCATAAAGATCAATACACTTACACACAAGTTATTGTCCTGAAACTAGAAAAAATGCTTGTTTTTTTTGCCCCTTTATGGCCCCTAATTCCTAAAATTTTGAGGCAATTACCCCAAAAATCAATCCCAGCCTTCCCTTTGTGGTATGGTACCTTGCAGTATAATTTCAGAGAGATCCATACACTTGAACACAAGTAATTGTCTGGAAACTAGAAAAATGCTTATTTTTGGCCCCTTATTCCTAAATGTTTTGGGCAATTACCCCCAAACTCAATTCCAGCTTTCCCTTTGTGATATGGAACCTTGTAGTACAATTTCATAAAGATCCAAACACTTACACACAAGTTATTGTCATGAAACTAGAAAGATGCTTGTTTTTTGCCCCTTTTTTGCCCCTAATTCCTAAAATTTGGAGGCAATTACCACCAAAATCAATCCCAGCATTCCCTTTGTGATATGCAACCTTGTGGTACAATATCAGAGAGATCCATACACTAACACACAAGTTAATTTAAGTGGAAGTTACAAAAATGCTTATTTTTGGCCCCTTTTTGGCCCCAAATTCCTTAACTGTTGGTACATTAACCCCCAAAATCAATCCCCACCTTCCTTTTGTGGTATTGAACCTTATGGTAAAATTTCATAGAGATCCATTCACTTAAACTAAAGTTAGAGTGTGAAAACCAATGTGTCTTCGGACGACGACGACGCCAACGTCATACCAATATACGACCGCAAAATTTTTTTGCGGTTGTATAAAAATTTGGTACATCAATAAATAATATGTCTGAGTTTTGAAAGATTCTATTGGTTTTTTTTTTAACAATTTGTTGCTATACAACTATCCATTTTTGTTCGAAGGTTGAATGCTAACACACCAGTTTTACCAAGCTTCCCTCTCAATGTGACTATCCCAAGCATGGAACAGTGTGTTTTCCTCTTTATCTTCATGTAAATTGTAAATTTTCTGTTGTTTTTGACATTGCCTGCCAAAATACAGATAAAACCATCGTTCATTGCAATTCAGGAAATTCAGAGCTCTTTCCATGCTTAATCAGAGTTATTTGGTAACATTTTTGGCTTTCTAGTTCCCTTGCTTTTAATGAGACTTTTCATCTCATTGAAAATTAAACCACATCTAATTATTGTTGTGTTTAGATTTTCTTTTCGAGTATTAAACAAGATTATGTGTCCATTTGACACCATGCTCAGCTCGAACTATCACATTTCCATGTTCAGTGACTACACAAAACCTGGTTCCATATGGAAGGCATATATTTCAAAAAGTTCACATCATAATGTGATCACAATTACAATTTCATGGTTAACTACCTTAAACCAGATATGGGACAATCAAACAAAATCACAGCCTGGAAAACATAATCCCTCTACTATCCTAGGTGGGGCATAAATATTCAATTTGTAATATGAAATAGGTATTTTCTGGTAGAATTAAGCATCATTTTTCTTCTTCTGCACTAATGTAAACATTTTATCTTAAAACTTTAAATAAACCTTACCCAATAACTAAACATGACAGGAACTGTTGATAAAACTTGTACACATACTCCTACAAACAACAAAAATGCACTAGATGTCTTATGCGGATTTCTGTTTGGTAACATCCTACTTGATTTTACTCAGATTCAGGAAATTGAATATAGCCTCATTTTGGAATATAACCTGATTTTGTGGAATGACGTATGGTTGATGGTCATGCATTGCTATTAGTCGATTTGTATTTTCCAAGTTCTTAAGGCTTATGGTTCATATTGACCTAAACTGTCACTGCAAAGTTTTTATGTTGCTATGTTGTCATTATCTTTATCTATGATTTGCATCTTGCATGAGAGGATGTAAATCTGGTTATTTCTATCTTGTGTGTGGTCATGAAGGTAATCTATTCTCTTTGTATCAAATTCCATTTTAACATGTTTAATGGCTATATTGTATGACTCAGTATTATTCAAAAGGTCTTTTTAAATGCCTTTGCAATGACAATATTGTTTATTATTTGTTCTTTATTTTATTCCTTTAAGTTTTGTTCACTTTTCTGTTTGTTTGCATTGGTTTTGAAGTGCATTGCTAGATAATGTAAATAACTTTAGAAGTCTGTATTTTGTATGATGCAGTGTACTTATTCATGGGGACCATTTTCTGGCTTTTTATGCTTGTTGTGTAACTGCTTAGTCATTTCTGGTATGATTTGGCACTGAAATAAATGTAAAGGTATATGCCAGGCTCTCAGGACACATAAAAGCCATGCAAATTGCAGCAACTATTGCTGAGGGGCGTCCATTTATCAAAGTGTATGTGTGAAGTATTTATACAAAGTCATATTTGCATCGGGACTTTGACTGCCAGATTCATTGTTGATAGAAAATGAATAAATATCTGTCATTCGAGGATCGGTTTGCTGTAAAACCTGGTTGAACTCATGATCACCACTTTTATTCAAAAGTGTCTGTACCAAGTCAAGACTATGACAAGTCAATCCACAATTTTCTCATGATGATTGCTTGAAGACATTTTCTCAAAACAGGATCCATTTTATAATTGTCTTAACCACAATCAAGTCCTCTTTTCCCTGAATGTGACCTACCGAATTAGACTAATCCCCAAGTTTGTACTTACATGAGAAACACGATGGGTGCCACATGTGGAGCAGGATCTGCTAACCCTTCCATAGCACCTGAGATCATATAAGGATTTTTCAGAATAATAACTGTTAACTTTCTTTTTTTTCTCTATTCATTTTATAAATTTGCTGACATTTAGTGTGGTTTTTTTTACATGTATATCTCTGCACTATTCTTATATTAAAAGATTCATCATGGAAAACACAACTACTTCTTGATACTAACCTGTATCATTCATGTCTCTTATTCTGGCCTCAGCACACCAACAATTCTCCTCAACTTTTCTAAAAAACTGGCCATTCTTCATCATGTTAGCCACTCCTGGACAGTTGTGTTCCATCTGTACCCAACCTCCATAACCATATCGCTGAAAACAAAGTCATGTAAACAGATATCAAATTTCCATTTTAAGTTGACTTAAGAACTACAATAGAGCTTTGTAAAAAATGAGACTTAACCACTACAGATATCAAATAAGCTGTTTGTGGAAATTTTCTTCATTTACAATGTTCAAGGAAGTTATTTAATGCGGTCTTGGAGATTTTTCAAGTTTTGATAAATCTTTTGAACACTAGTAAACAACATTGAACCATGAATATTTGAACTTATTTCTTCACATATAATATGAATACTGGCTTCTATTAATGTTAAATTAGCTAGATATATATATATATATAACATAGTTTTAAGAATTCTATTTCAAAATATAGGTTGCATTATCTTATAATTACATTACATGTATATTTGATAAGAACCTCTACTGTTGACTGGCTGATACCAATAGCTAGGCATTCCAAAATGTGCGCTCATTTTTAGTATGAAGCGCTTCTGCGCCTTAAATTGCAGACTATAAAGTATGGGTTTTGCAAATTGTAAATTTCTCCAGTTCATCAGTTCAATAGTCAGTGCCTTGGTACAGTCATGATTTATAACATACCTTTCTTAAATTTCCTGTTGTTACTGTTGATAAATTTAGATAAGAAACTTAGGTTCCAACTCCCTCAGGCAATGTTGATCTTAGGTAGATTTGGCTATTCTTTTAAGTCCCTTTTTGGTCATATTTTTTTTTAAATTTTTAGCTTCCTAATGAAGGTAAATCAAGAAAAGGTGCTTCTTGTTTTACATTATCATTTCCAGCCTTTTAAAGCTTACTTTAGCGGTATGGGTTTTGCTCATTGGTGAAGGCTGTACAGTGACCTATAGTTGATTATTCCTACATTATTTGGTCTCTGATGGAGAAATATCTCATTATTAATTGGCAATCATACCACTTTTACATGGTATCGGGTTTGTTCGCCCTAATAACATGTTCGCCCTGGGTTCGTTCTCTCATACATGTAGAGTCTGTTCGCCATACTTTTATATAAAAAAAAAATATTATAAATATTGGTATCAAGGGTTTATAAACTTGTTCAGATTTTTATATGGAAAAATATTACAGAAAATATATTTCTTAAAATTCATGAAAAAAAAAACAACATAGAAATATATTTAAAAATTAATGGCTTGTTTTTGCACATTAAGTTATTAAACTGTCTTCATTGTTACATTTGTTTTTATTTAGAATTACTTTTAATAATGACTGTTAATTGTACATAATTAAGAATGCTGATTAGGAATAATTATGATGTTTTTGATCTCACTGATTGTTGTATACAGCTCTTAATGAGTGAAAACAACGATGTATGAATTGTAAGACATGAAAGGGAATTTATCTTCACAGCTTGGATTCTTGACCTCAAGTTTGTTTGATTTAGTAAATCATGGTGTAGAAATGTATAGTTAATAGCTGTGAGATTGTGTCTTTTCTGATTTTTTTTTTTTATAGATTATTTCAATTCAGTGCTCTTTAAAAAATAACAGTGTTAGAGGCGTAGCACTGCTATAATTATTGGTATGGCCGATTCATGTGCACACTGAACTTGCGTCAATTGCCAGGGGTTTGGGGTTATACACTCCAAGAAAATGTTTTAAAAAAACCTGGAAATCTGTGCTTTCTGAGAGCTACCCGACCGTAATTCAGGACAAAAGGTAAAAAAATATGCATTTTCATTATGTTTTTGGAGGTATATTTAATTATCTATGTGTCAAAGCAGCAGTTGATCGTTCAAATTTGTTGGTTTTGCATTTTTTGTTTTATATATATTTACAGCGGTGGATACTGGATTGTTTTCAAGGGGTGTACTTCCTGGAAACAGAAAATATTCTTCCGAGCAGAGCAAGGCAAAAACATTTTGGACAATTTTATGCTAAATAAAAGATTTATTTTCCAACTAAAGGGTATACCATCTAAGATGCACCCCTCAATCTTTATTTATATCGTTAGATTGGAATAAGTAATAAACACAAAAGGAGTAAAATTAAACACAAAAGATACAGATACTAATGAATATGTGTTGAGGTTAAACTAGTTTGTTTAAGATCAGTAGATTAAAAAAAGTTAAACTATATAAAATTTAAAAAAAAACTAAAAAGCCAAACTGGAAAAGCACTCAACCCTTAAATTAGTTTTCTACTAGAAAAACCTATTTCGAACATATCTCGAGCTACCATTGTAAATTATCTAAAACACCAAATTTTTCAAATTACAAAATATTTAGATGTGATATAAGACAACCACCGACGCATCTTTGTAAATTGAAATGGTCAACATTCAGTTTGTGGGAGGCAAACCGAGACTATGCAAGAGCTATAAACTTTGGAAAGAGAAAGGTCTCAGTGAAATTTTCATATTTGTTCTGGCACTATTGCACATATTTAATGAAATCAAAGTTGATGAGAAAGCGGGAAAAGGCATCTAACTACGAGGACATGATTCATGGGTCTACTTACACATAGAGCTGGAGACAAATTACTGTGCGTCTATTCAATCACAGAGAGGTGGGATAAAGGGGATGGGCGATTGGGAAAAGGGGCAAACTCTCAGTGATCTGGTCAATTCCTTTTTGTTAGAAATGAGGTTTATCGTGACCCTGTTGGAATTATATTAAAACACACAATAACTACTGCAATGATAAGAGAAGCTTCATTATTTATTAGGACAATTTCTGTCATCTGTAATCTTCACAGCTACAAAACGTTAGGGTTTTTCACGTTTAGATCATCGAGTATAAAAGTTTGAGATAAATCATTCAAGACTTTATTTGTAGTCCTGACAACTGTATGCTTTAGGAACATCGTTAAGACGGTAATTTGGATCGAAGTAGTTGTTGTACAATGTCACTCTCTCTTATAGCTACACGCCTAGCTAAAGTTTTTCCATGATCAGAATATATTGTTTATGGTTATAATATTGCAATAGTGATGCAAATGACAAATTAAATACATGTTCGAGATGGATCTGGTAACATCTGTTAATGATTGTTTTGAAATTCTTAAAATGTATCAATAAAGATAAATACATACAGATACCTTGATCTGCAGATGGTTTTTTATTCAACACTAGTAAATTCCTGTGACACTTCAGCATGTTCAGTGCAAATCAGAGAAAAATAATTATCTGGTAGCAGCAATACAATATAAATATTCGGCGAAATTTACAAAAAACTTTTAACATACTTTATTAAAATAATTTACATTATACATTGTTTATACAACAAGACAACAGAATAAAATAAAAATCAGGGTGAATGGGTATTAGGGCGAAAGGACCCAGGGCGAACAGGTGTTAGGGGGATCAGGTACTAGGGTAAACGTTTATCAGGGCGAAAGGACACCGAGTCCTTCCACGTCTTCTTATCTTTATATTCTAAATTACCCTTCGTGCTGAAGCATCTAAATCCAAACATCAATCAGCCAATCCATCTTTTCCTTATTTATTATTATACACAACATTTTAATTAAATCATTAAAATCCTTGTATGATATATTATTCTAAAAAAATCCATCAGCAGATGTAGTGTCAGATTCTTAACTGCTGCTCATAAGATCCTTTAAGTATTAATGATTAAGTATGAACATGATGAATATGATGAACAACACATGCACCGTTTTTCTAAATGACCTTTTTGAAGGACATTTTTGGTATTCTACTAGATCTAATTTGCAAAATTATTTAACATTTTATGAATCTCAACCTTTTCTAAATCAGGCCAGCTTTTTGGTAAAATGTGTGTATGGAGATCGATCTTCATATTTAGCCAGGTCAGATGGTGAAGGTGAAGGCTGCTATAATAAACCAATCAAAGCAATCAATTTTGGAGGCAGGGTCGAATAAGTCGTATCCTTTCCGAACTATTTTCTTTTTTTACTGTACGTCAAACTTCCTGTTAAAGTGAAAGTAGACCACGACTAGCAGACCATCTACACTTGATTATTGTATAGCAAATTTGCTGCCTTGCTTGTTGGTTAAACTTTCTTAATTATGGAAACTAACATAGAGCATGCGACCAATGATCAATCTGAATCTAAAACTGGATCTGACAAAACTCACTTGAGTGTAGTCGAAAGATACTACAAACCAAAATATATTCTAGGTAATCTACATATGGCGTATTTATCTGGAAGCAAGTTAACTCGTACCATTGTAAACTCGTACCACGTAAACTCGTACCAAAAAAGTTAACTCGTACCAACGTAAACTCGTACCACTGGGAAGTCGTACCAATCAGAACTCGTACCACTGCAAACTCGTACCATTAAAAATATATTAAAAAATACGAATGTTTTATGATTTTGTTTTGGTATCACCAGCCCAGTAGTCAGCACTTCTGTGCTGACATGAATTATCATTGATATGGTCATATTTATAAATTAACTGTTTACAAAACTTTTGCAATTTTGAAATACTAAGGCTTTTCTAGCTCAGGAATAGAATCACCTTAGCTGTATTTGGCAAAACTTTTAGGAATTTTGGTCCTCAATGCTCTTCAACTTCGTGCTTTATTTGGCTTTTTTAACTTGTTTGGATTCAAGCGTCACTGATGAGTCTTTTGTAGACGAAACGCGCGTCTGGCGTAAATACAAAATTTAATCCTGGTATCTATGATGAGTTTATTTAAAACACAATAAATAAATTCTTTCGTTAAATAAAAATTCCTTTTAGAAACAAAAGAAAAATACACAAATCTATTCAATGATACTGATTTGGAATGATTAAAAATTAAATCAAATAGTTGTCAGTAAAAGTTTAAAAAAGAGTCTACTCAAGTGAGACAACAAAGCCAATCTGCCACGGTTTTCTCTATCCAATTAGACAAGGAAAATTAGCTACAAATTGGTCATTGTAATTTCAAATTATATACACTTTACAGATTTACGAGGTATTGAGGGAAATTAAAGTATATATTCATCATTAAACACCATTTGAATGCATTTAAATAAGTTGGTACGAGTTTACAATGGTATGAATTTACCGTGGTACGAGTTAGCAGTGGTACGAGTTTGCATTGGTACGAGTTTTTTTTTAGTGGTACGAGTTGACATTGGTACGAGTTTACAATGGTACGAGATAACTATAATTCATTTATCTTTAAGTTGATACGGTATTCCCAGGTTTGCATTTTCTATTTTGATTTTCTTAATAGAGAATTCCTGCTTACAAGGAAGCTATTGAACAATGGGTTCTCAAAAAAATGATAATATTAATGGTAAAGACTAAAGTTGTAGTCCTATAAAGTATAAGTGTACAACGATTTCCCGAGAACTCCGAAAAACTCAATATGAACCAGAGAAGATATTACCAGAAAACTGTATTTAATATGGTGTATAAATACTGCTTTTATTGATTTTAAAGACTTTAAATGTGAGGTATTTGTCATTTTTACTCAAAGTACATTCATACAATTTAACTTCAGGAATATCATGTGTGTGTCTTGTATGCACAACAATATGGCCGATGTAATCATTTAAAAAGGCAAAGTTATCTACCTTATGAAAAATTACATCTGCCATATTGTTTTTCAAGGAACTTGCATTCAAGACGCACAAATCAAATTCCTGAAGTTAAATTGTACTTTTATTGAGTAAAAATGACAATATATCCAGGGCTCACGCTAGCAGGCGACTGGGGCAAAAAAGTCGCTTTCCTGTCCATCACTTCGCTTTGCCCGTCCGTCAAAAGCGATATCTAGTCACCATGGTGTTCACAGTAGTCGTTTGCAGTTGCTTTCGTCATTGGCAATTTTCACCTTTTTACCAAGTCAATGAAACAGCATATTTTTCATTTAAAAGTGAAGAAATTCAGACATAAACAATTTATTTCTTTAGAAAAGATGTCAAAGTATTGACTTTACAGATTGGTTGTATGTTATTTCAGAAAAACAACTTTTATGAAGTATTTTCTTTCACTTCTGGTACTTGTTACTCGAGATCGTATATATCAAAACATTCTGATTTTCGGCAAAATAAGTTTTTTACTTCGTTAGAAAGTGATAAAAATTGCCTTCAGTTAATGCTCGATCCATTCATTGCATTAAAAGCGTCCTATTCCTTTCCAAATCGCTTGTCAAACATTGTTTATTTTCGTAAATTTTCTTCGTCCGCCATTGAAATATTTGTACGAACCATGGATCAAAGGCAGGATTCATCAGAAGCGGACCAGCTATGACTGAAATCCATATTCTTACTATAATAACTACAGACGCCTGAATTGAACAGCTGACAAAAGAATAATGACCTCAAAAGTGAAAATTAAGCATTCCACATGCATTAACAGACTTTTGGTTAGATCTCCTTGCTAAATGTATATATTTCCATGTAAATGCATGGTTTCAATTTATTGATTAAAGTTGCTTAGCTTTGTTAAATTTTATATCTTTTTAATGAGAAACAATGAATTTCATTAAATAAGATGATAAACAGCATAGTTTTTTTAATTGCATTTTAATTGATATATGATACTTTCTTTTCCTTTTTGATATAAAAAAGTTCTTTGTAGTGCTAGATATTTAGTTGGTAGATTCTGACAAGAGGACTAATATAATTGTGCAACTATAAATGACTATTTAAGACATAAACTGAAACAACTGTTACTTTAATTGCCTCTGGTATGAATTGAACACCTACACAAAAAAAAGGATACATATGGCCCTTTATATTATAGTAAAAACCAAATATAGTTGCCCCGTGAGCGAACAAGCACTTCTCTTTCAAATCTCACCACCTCTCCCTACCAGTTTCAAAAAGAGAAGCCACTTCTCCCTATGATTTTGAAGTAGTGTGAGCCCTGTATATCTAAAAATTGTAGACTTTGTTATCTATAAAAGCAGTATAACTCCATATAGAATAAAATTTTAGGGTGATATATATATATATATTGGTTCTCAGGTTCATATTGAGTTTTTGGAAGTTTTCTAGAAATTGTGGTACCGTTCCTATCCCATATGACTTCACATTCTTATTCAATTTTTAACGTTATTATACTGATATTATATTTTATTTTTTTTTAAAGTGGCACATTGATAATAAAAAAAAAATAGCAAATGATTAGTAATAAGAAAATATAAGAAATAAATTGAAATAGAAAATAATGCCCCAGAGGTCATATTTTATAGGACTAGGGTCCATGTACTCATTTTCATGCTGATGATTAAAATCAGTACAAAAATGCATTGTTTACTGATATGTTACAGTTTGACATTTTACGTTAGCAACGTCATTTTCACCCCTGTAACTGTATCGTATACCCTTAACAATACCACGAAAACACACCTATATATATTTTTCATCCTTCTTTTTATATATATATGACTCACCTTTTTAAAGAGGATGAATATGTTTATAAATATGTAGGACTCTGATCAATGTCTGGTCCTCAAATCGATGTCCAGTATGATGTCATTATAGATTATAGATTCAATGTGCCTCTAATAGAAGTCTTTTTCCATTCTCATATCAAGGTCCAGTTCTTAGCTGAGACCTCACGACTTAAAAAACAAATAGTTGTATCAACACGAACAAAAAGAAATAAAATAAAATGTTTATGATTTCATAATTTCATCACCGATGTAAACAAGTAATGATATCAATTTCAATTGAAATACAAGTACTGATCCTTTGCCATTACAATGCATTGTTGTAACTCTACATGTTATATAATCTGAGTCCTGATATATATATATATGGCAATCATACTTGACTATTTAGAGTTACATACTTGCTGCAGTCAAAATATTATCTACCATAGTAGACATTATTAAATGTTGATTGTGATGGATTCAGAATGTCATCTTAATTCACATTCATGTAACACTTGGGATTGCTTTATGTTTTCTTTTGTGTAGAAAATTTGAATTTAAAAAGTCCATATGTCCAGTGATGATGATAAGCATGTCAGTATAAAAGTATAAAACAATGTATGGTAATAGTATTTTCTATCATGTTGTATGCATACTTCTTATAATTGTTTCAACTGTTTTATAGATTGTCAGGCTAATGAAGATGAAGATCTCTGTATACTCACACATTCAAACAGGTAAATGTTAACAACTTAACAACATAGATCTCTGTATACTCACACCATTCAAACACGTAAATGTTGACAACTTAACAACATAGATCTCTGTATACTCACACATTCAAACACGTAACTGTTAACAACATAGATCTCTGTATACTCACACATTCAAACAGACAACTGTTAACAACATAGATCTCTGTATACTCACACATTCTAACTGGTAACTGTTAACCAACAAAGATCTCTGTATACTCACACATTCTAACTGGTAACTGTTAACCAACAAAGATCTCTGTATACTCACACATTCAAACACGTAACTTTTAACAACATAGATCTCTGTATACTCACACATTCTAACTGGTAACTGTTAACCAACATAGATCTCTGTATACTCACACATTCTAACTGGTAACTGTTAACCAACATAGATCTCTGTATACTCACACATTCTAACTGGTAACTGTTAACCAACAAAGATCTCTGTATACTCACACATTCAAACAGGTAACTGTTAACAACATCTACCACTCATAATTTTTTTTTTTGTTATATAGTATTATGGTCTTGTGAATAAGATAAAGCAGCATACTCTTTGAAAAAAGAAAGTCATTTGCCATATTTGATTGATTCATATGTTGAAATCAGCCTGAATACAAATCTAGAGAGTTGCAAAATGTACTTCTAAATGATCTTGGTTCTAGTAAGATCAGTATATATTAATACCAGTACTCTTCAATTTACATCATTTTGTTTTGTATTTTGTTTACCAAATAAATGTATTTCCTTTGAATACTGTGAATGTATGTGGATAAAATGTTTGTCTGGAGATTGTCAGAATCAATTTGTTTATACATTTTTGTGTATTTGTTATCAGGCTTACCAGTAATGTAAGCTATCTATACAGTGATTTATTCTAATACATATAGCTTATGTTCTTCCTGTTTGTTTGGAATATGATTAATGTAGTGTTTAAATATAACACTTATGTGAAAGGCAGGCATGTACCGGTAAGAAGTAATTGTTGGTCTGAGAATTGTTATCCTCATACACTTTTTAAATAATCTATATTGCCATTAAACTATTGTTGTCAGGACGAATCATCAATTTTAAAACTGTTTTAAATGACACCAACAATTTAATAACATAAAAATTTAGAAATTTAATTCATGCAATTGCCAAAAAATATTGATAATTGTTAACATCATGGGAAGTAGTAATGTATCAAGAACCGATTCTGTTAATATTTTAGATATAGTTTCTTAAACTGTTCTCATGGACGTAGAATAAATCGCAATCAGAGAAAATTTCGTACTAACAATACAAATATTTTGGACCTAACTACTATTTCAAAATACAATGGCAGACATTATCTGTTAACCAAGCTCTATTCTTTACCTGTTAAAAAATTACATCAAAGTTTTGAAGATTGCAACACATATCCATATTGCAGTCCTAAGTATGAAATCATCCAAATTATAATTGCATATTGTTATTCTAAACTGTTTCCCAAAATTGATCGCCCATAAGATCATAAAAAACATTTCATTAAAATCAAATATGTCAATAAAGGTTTTGATTTTGTAAATATTGCCAGTATTCTTAATGATCATTCCGTACACGTAAAAGAACGAATTCCTGGTTATTTTAATAATACTGAGTACCCTCTTATTTGTTATGTTTAATAAAAATCTACCTGAAAATGTGTGTTTAATTATAGCGAGGTGTGTTAAGATGTTAATATCAGTGACAATACACCATGTACACCTACGTCATGAAACTGCAGTTATTCCAAATACATTTATGGCCCCAATTCCCATTTTATAACAGGAGACCTTAACATCGTCCAGGACCGAGAATTGAAATAATTTCTTAGTAAAGGACCTAAATATTGTCCCCAGTCAATTATTAATTGGAATGAGTGTGGTATCATCATCCACAACTCACTCAGTACTTAACTGTATGAAATGGATAAAACAAGAAAAAGCTGACAAAAAATCCTTAGATTCCTTTTTTTTAATTTAGAAATGAACATAGTTGATATTGGTATAAAACATTTTTAAGAACATTTTACTCCTAACAACAACCATAATAGCCATATTTCTTGTATCAAACATAAGCTAAAAGAACTCACCAAGGAATTTGTTTTTGTCCCGGCTGATAAGGCTGCCAATAATATCATTATTGTTCAACGTAATTTTTTATTGAGATTCTGCAAAAGGAAATCACCAATTCACCAACATTCCAACTGACTCAATTTTCGGAAAATGGCATCTGTAACAAACATAAACTTTTAGCTACCTCTTTACAAGCAGAACCAAATAACATGAAAGTTCTAACTATGTACTGGCTACCGAAGCTGCACAAAATACCTTACAAATATAGATTTATTTCGTCTTCAGGCCATTGTCCCACTACTAAACTGCCTATTCTACTTACTAATACAATTGGTACAATCAAAAACCTGGTAATAAATTGTTCAAATAAGGCCTTTGAAAATAGTGGAATTAATTACTTTTGGAGCGTCAAAAATTCATTGGAAGTTCTTGATAAATTGCATTCTCATACAGGTGATTTCGAATCTGTTCAAAGTTTTGATTTTTCTACCCTATATACCACACAGCTTAATAATCTCATTAAAAAAAAATTCACAAACCTAATTAAATGGGTATTTAAACAGTAAGAATGCCAATATATATGTTCAAACTCGTTTAGGTCATTTTTTAATAACAACAAACGAAAGAACTATTTCAATTGGACCTGCTTTGATACAATAACTGCACTTGAATTTTTACTAGATAACATTTTGTTCGCTATGCAGATTTATTATATTGTCAAGTTATTGGAATTCCCATGAGGACTAACTGTGCACCACTTATTGCGGAACTGTTTCTGTATTGTTACGAGTTACAGTTTATGACTAAAATCAGCAAAGAACCATCGAAACAACATCTGATACAAAAATTTAATAACACTTTTAGATATTTAGCTGACATGGCTGATAAATTGGCTCTCAATAATGACGACTTCAGTTTGTACACTAAAGAGATTTATCCTGCTGAACTGACTTTCAGTAAAGCTAATACTAACAATGAACACTGCCCTCTCCTGGATCTTGATATCTATATCTTAAACAGGAAGCTTAATACTAAAATTTATGATAAAAGAGATAAATTTTTATTTCCTATTGTTAGTTATCCATTTTTGTGAAATAGCACATTAAAAATCTGACTCAGCTTGTAAGTCTAATACAAAGCGGGTTAATATTTAAATTATATTAACATGTTCTTGTCTGGAATATGCATTCAATTTGCCACTTAACGTTAAACAGCTATCCAAAAATTAGAATTTATTTCATTTCTGCTAAAAATAATAAGCAGATACTGAAGTGAAATTCTTTTCCATTACACATAGAGATTATGAGAGGGAAAGTACTTGTACTCTTTCAGACCAAAAGAGGTACATATGTCTCTGACATTTGTAATAAGTTATATTTTTTAAATGTGTTCTTCCTTTTTTTTTATAGAAAAGCCTGGTCTTTGATCAGAACACTGAATCTGATGTCAAAGTACAAATTTACCACAAACTGCAAATTAACAATTTTGCAAATAGGATGCTTGACACAAAAATTTAAATTTTTAGTTAATTGACAATTTCTATGGACTTTATTAATCCAGAATACTAGAGATCACATTTGTTTAAATTATCAGTGTTTGTCAGACCTAAAGTGGTGCAAAATTTTCTTTTGAAAAGACTGTTGAAATAATGTGTACCTTGGGAGTTTTACATCAGATGGTGATACAAAAACTGCAAATATAAATCAGGAATATCATATTCTGTCTTGACAAAATGTCATGAATGGAAACAGTGTACATCTTGAATTTGTTGACATTGGGACATCTTTACATAGGACTTAATGGGAAAGTGCACTTCAAAAATTATTTTACATTGAACAATTATTCCAATTTATATGAAACATTTCTATATTAGCACAAGGGTGTATCATTTTAAAAATTACATGTGCATCTGATAACATGGCCTCCTACTGGTGAACTTACATGTTAAATGATAATCAGATTGAATTGATATCCTGAATATTATGTTCATCTGACTTAAGAATTAAAAATCTGTGAAAAGAGCTGCAGGTTCTTAAGTTGCCTTCTTACATCCAGGTACACTTAAGGTAATTCTGGGGTATACCGCCATCTTGAATTGTACAATCTCAGTAAATAATCGGTCTAGTTCTTTGTTCAAATCTGCAAATTTGGAGACAGATTTGCAATTTATAGGTTACACTGTTTATCTAAATAAAGAAAACTTAGTTATTCATTGCATTATCGAAAATGTTTTAACAAATACCAAATATTTGTGCTTTTAGAATTAATTTTTCAAATAAGCCATTTAAGGGGAGATAACTCTTTTAGTACAAAATTTATACTGGACATATAGGGAAATTTTCATTTTTTACTTGTAGCAAGAAAACAAGTTCGGTTACACCATTTTTTCTTTTTATTTTCTTAAAATATATTATAAAACCTATCTTCCAATATTTTATTTCAAAATTCTGTCTCATAGATTTCTTCTTATGCACAAAAATGTGTTTTTTCATGAACAATCTAAGCAAATTTTGGCAATTTTGAACGACTCGTACCTTGAAAAATAGCGCGGTGACCCATACTTTTTATCATTTTTTTGAAAAAAGCATAGTAAAATCTTCATTTTGGCAAAGTATTAGAAAATTCTGTCATTTTTTTTCTATACCCCTGAACTACCTTAATTATTTCAAAGTATATTTCAGTCTTTTCTTGACCATTTTTTGTTTAATTGAATATAGGGTTGTGTTTTTTTATTGAAAAGCATGAATTGGGATGAATCACAACATGTTTTTGAATAACATTTCCTTTTGTACTTCAGAATTTGCATTATTACACTGGCACCTTCTCATCCAGTTGTTAGAGATAAGAAAACAATAAAACAGATCAGTTTTAAAGTTGGAGGTGTTGATAGACTTAACAACAAAGTTTCTGGAAAGGGGAAAAGGGTAAGTTCATTATGCTAACGATAATAAAACTATCAATTTTCTGACAGTGAATTACTCTACAATGTTGGCCACAGCTTTTTTAACTGACTGAAAATTATATATGATATGACAAAGTTTAGATTGAGTTAGTTGATTTGATCCTTTAAGAGCAAATATTACAGGAAATTCACATAAATTTTTGTAACATTTTGATATATATATATATATATATATATATATATGAAAAATGGGAGAGAATGTTTATCACATAAATGAAATTAGCATAATTTTTTATGTAAGTAATGTTTATTTAAATCATGGTTTTGAAGAAAAACATATTGATTTAGTAGAACTTTCTTCTTCTATTTCTTCTTTTGCATCAACTTATGATATAAAGTATTATCATACGACATTGTCTCTTGTATTATCATGACCTTCATGTGACCTTGACATTTAACCTCATTGTCAATTAATCGATTTTTGGGGATATTTTCTTGTCCCAGTCATAACTTTTTATCTTTTGTTATAGACTTTTGATATTTAGCACATAGATGTATCATCTCAAGACTATGTGTCACATTCCATTGAAGATGACCCCTTAATATGACCTTTGACTTTTAAGTTCAAATATTTGGTTTTTTAGGAGATTTTCATGTCCATCCCCAAACCATGTATATATGTTCTTGTTTGCCATGTTATATCCTTCCTAGTTCATCATATGTTTTGTCTGAGATGACATGCTCACTCCTTTTACATTAACATTGATATGTACTATTATAGCAATTATGTTTTCCATATATATATTTACTTTGTTCAATAAAATACATGCGTAACCTTTGTCTTATTGCAAAATGAATTACAGATTGATTAAATGTATGTCAAGAAATCAGATATGTTTTGGTCTTAAATGAATAAAAGGACATCAGTTTTGACCAAGAACACATCTTTCATTTTTAACCTTACTGCTTTTTAGGGAGCACAAGAATTAAATGCTGGATCACCAATATGCAAGATTGCATGTGTTGATGGAGAAGAATTTACTGTTTATTCAGGAATAAAAGGACAGCTAATCGAGGTTAATGAATGTCTGATACAAAACCCAGAATTAATCCTGAAAAAAGTAAGTTTTTTTAACAATAGTTCTTTGTGACTATACATTGTATAATCACAAAGATGTATTTGTAACAAACTTACAAGTAAACAGTCTATAAATTGGGACAGTACTTTGTCCTACAGATGTACAAATTAAATATAATAGATCCCCACCCCCCATCTTTATTAAAGAAATGATAAATAAATAAAAAATAGCAAAATAGCAAATCTGTAAAGGTTTTAAGTAATTTGTGGTAACGAAATCCCTGGCTTAATAATTTACCAGTAATACATAGATTACGTTTGTTAAAGTCACAACAGACACGGGCATAGCAAACGAGCTGTGAAATATAAACACCGTAAGATGGTGCCAAAGGAACATCACCATCCAAAAAGGGAAAATTGACAATAGGGAACGAAAAATCGTCCCTTTTGTCGTAAATTTTAGTGTGGAGTTTCCCGTGTAAAACCGAAATATCTAAATCTAGGAAAGGACAGTTGTTACCGTTTAAATTTGATTTATTTAAAGTAAGTTCCTTTGGGTAAATTTCGGCAGTATATTGAGAAAATTCTTGATTATTTAACGAAAAAATATCATCAAGATAACGGTAAGTGTTGTTGAATTTATCAATTAAATGCAATTTACGGGTCTTTACTGAGTTTGGTCATAAACTGTGATTCATAACAGTACAAAAACCAAGTCTGCTATTAAAGGGGCGCAATTAGTGCCCATAGGAATACCTACAACCTGTCGATAAACTTTGCTGCCGAACGTAATAAATATTATCAAGGAGAAAATTAACAGTTTCAATCAACTCATCACACCTCCAGTAAGTATATCTAGCATACTTACCTTTCTCATTAGAGAAGAAGGCTTTAAATGAGTTGCAGCAAATATATTTGCATTCAGATTTACCAAAGGACCATTTAATTATATAGTCAAATTTTTGTTTGATAAGATTGTGTGGAAGTGTAGTGTAAAGAGTAGAAAAGTCAAAACTGTCAACAGAATCAAAAGGAACATCAAAAGCACGTAATTTATATAAAACATCCAAAGAATATTTTACACTCCAAAAATAGTTAATTCCACTATTTTCATATATTTTATTACAATAGTTTATGATAAGCTCTTTGATAGTAGTTAAGGAACTTGCTAAAAGCACTGAAAGATTAGTTGTAGAACACTTACTAGAGGCCGAGATGGAACGATATTTTACTGGTTTTTTGTGTAGTTTAGGTAACCAATACATAGTAGGAACCTTCAAATGTTCAGAAGAAGCTTTAAGCTGTGATGTGGTTATGATATGTTTGTTAATTATATGACTCTCTGTGGGGCGCATGGACTTGAATGTAGATGAATTTAAAATTTGATTCTTAAGAATATCCGTGTAGTATTTAAGGCATACCACCACCACATTGTTGGCTGCTTTGTAGGTTTGTTTAAGATTAACCAGTGATATTTGTTAGGCAGCTGTATTAGTGTTTGTATGTCTCATTTCCATGGAAATTATATGGCCACACCCCCTAACCATGGTTCATTGACTTTGAGACTTTTGCATAGTTTACATGTTAAAGTTTGTGTTTACGTCAGTTTAAAGGGAATCACTTATAAAAGTTGATGGTATTTGGTATGCAATTTTATAAGCATTGGCATTCCTCATTTCCATGGAGATGTTTTGGTTCTGCACCTTATGCATGGTTCAATGACTTTGAATGTTTAACATAGTTCCCTTGTCCTTGGGCATTTTATTATTGAAAATTGACCTGTTTATTACTACTGGGCAATTGCATCCAAAACTGGTCACATGTACATTTCTGATATTAAAATAAAGCAATGTGGTATGATTGCTAATGAGCAAGCTATTCACAAGAGTTTAAATGACAAAAATATACTGTGGATTCATTATCATTTGTGGGCTTTCAATTTTCTTGGATTTATTGGGTATACATAAACCCATGAATCAAAATATTCAACGAAAACATATTTTCTAAAGGCTTGTATACAGACTTTGGCAAATCCCCTGAAAATTAAATTTTCCTGAATCCCAACAAATTGGTATCCAAGAAAATAAGTGAATCCACAGAAGACAATTATAGGTCATCATATGGCCTTCAACAATGAGAAAAACCCATACCACATAGTCAGCTGTAAAGGCCCCAACATGAAAAATGTGAGATTATTCAAATGAGAAAAAAAATGGCCTAATTTATAACAATACAATTTACGAAAAACAAATGTGACAGACATGAACCAAGGACAACAACTAAATTACAGGCTCTTTATATATTATATCAGATGATACCTCCATGCTATAAACTTAGCATATACCACCATGCCAATGAAGTGGAGGTAAACAGGGCTTTCAAAAGTAGCTGGTTCCCTGAATTCTGATGCTTATAGAATTTTAATTCTACTTTTAAAAGTGACAAAATTTAAAATTTGAGTCTAAAAATTAAAAAAAATGCAGTTCAAGCTAAGTTGCAAGACTGCATTAGTGCCTATCCAGGAAATTTTTAGTCATTTCAAAATCAAAATTTTGTTCACCAGTATCATCAGATCTGATTAATCTGTATCAAAATCTTAAAATAGTAAGAATAAAGCTTGAAACTTTACCTACAGAGGGTGTACAAATCAAGTTACCATATTTAGATGTAAAAATTAATGTTTCTTACAGTGATGAAACTATATCAACCAAATTATACCATCACAGACATATATATTATTTGAACCTGATTGGCATTAATTAAATAAAATACAGAAATCAGGAAAATGAAAGTACATATCTAAATTATGCCACTGAATTATAAAGTTCTAAAGTTTTGCTATTCATAAGACACTAGTACCTCAAAAATTTTAATGTACCTTATATAGTTCATTTGCATTTTAACTCAAAATAAAACAGAGTTTGAGGGACAACCTGTGAAACACAAAATATGTTTTAAAAGTAATACATGTAACTGAGTGTTAAAGATAAAATATAAATTTTCACCTTTTAAAACTCCAATGAAGTTTATAGGGGAAACAAATTGTTTCTGGCAATTTGCACTAGCAATTTTCTAGTTATATATATTCAGCTTATCTAAGCTTCTTAATTCCTTGAAAAAAAATGGTTTTAGATAGGCATTGAAAAAATATTTTATTTCTATTGAAAAATGAAAATCCTACTTGTTATTAAAAAACAGTTTGTTTTTCATGAAAGTTGAAAAAATTGTTTGTCTTTTGAAAAAAATACTTGCCCCTCACAACAGATAATTGTTTGATACATTATTATATAGGTTGATGTCAGTCTTAATTATAATTCTTAACGAACTTTACAAACTAGCAAGCAAGCTGACTAGACATTTAGACATATGTTCCTTATGTCGTAACTACAATACCCTTCCCTTTTCACGAATGTGACCTACCGAATTAGACTATTGACAGGATTTGTAATAACATAAGCAACACGACGGGTGTCACATGTGGAGCAGGATTTGCTTACCCTTCGGGAGCACCTGAGATCACACCCAGTTTTTTGTGGGGTTCGTGTTGCTTAGTCTCTAGTTTTCTATGTTGTGTCATCTGTACTATTATTTGTCTGTTTGTCTTTTTATTTTTGGCCATGGCGTTGTCAGTTTGTTTTCGATCTAAGAGTTTGACTGTCCCTCTGGTATCTTTCGTCCCTCCTTTAAAACATTTAACTGCTATGGGTAACAACTACTATTCAATATATAAAAAAAAACAAATTCTTACCTAATAATTGAGAAAAAAGAAAATGTTATTAAAAAAATACCATTTTTTATGTGTGGAAAATACTTGGAAATGTTCTGAATCAATTTCAGAAAATGAGGGTCTAGGTGGCCCCAAGCCTTATTTCTTTTTCTTGCTCTGCTTATCTCTGATGTTGCCACCTACTTTGTATCATGTACCAAAACCTAAATCTGATTTTATTTTTGCAAGAACATTTAAATATTCTGGTCTTATTACCGGGAATAATTTGCCAAATAATATTAAAGAAATAAATAATTTAGATACATTTAAGATCAAATGTTCAAACTATTCTTTAACTGTACAGAATGAAGATACCTGTATCTAATGTATTTTTTATAAGGTCTTTCCACTTTTCCGTGGATAGACCTATTGGTTTTGTTCTGATTATTTTTTTTTTCTTCCGCCAAATTTTTTTCTTACGCTGTATTTTTGTATAAGATGTCGCTTAGATTTTTTGTATATGATATATCATACAGTCTATACGCTTTTGAAACTGACCCTATTTAACCGAAAACTTTTCTTTGTAATGTTATCGCACCAAACACTGTTTTTCTTGTTATGAGATCTCCTTCGCAACCGTAAAAGAAAGAGACAAATTTGTTTTTCCAAATTACTCATTATATCCTCAGAATGTTACGTTTTATTTTGACCGAAGTCTTGCGAAGACTCCATATGAGAGTTATTTCCCCTTATGTTATTGAAATAAGTGATATGTATTTGTAACTTGTAAACCATAAGTGATAGAGACCAGGGTGTTTTGATTTGAGGTCCTTGGTCCACTAAAAGAAAAATTAGGTCAAGGTGAAAGGTCAAGGGCATGTTTTAAATTTTGATTTTAGCTTGTTATTACTTATTATCAGAAACCATATTAGATGTTGACAATATATTTTTACTAAATTGTTATATGCGACATGTCGTTACACATAAATTTTGGTTGAATGGGTACATTGACATAAAATTGGAGTTTTCTCCCCTTTCATATTTAAAGCTAGCTGTATGGTGATATAACTCATTAACCATATATAGTACAGACCTAGGGTCTTTTGATTTGAGGTCCTTAATTTATGACCTTGAAATTTAGGTCAAGGTCATAGGTAAATTTGACGTTTTAGATTTTGACCTTTGCTTTAACTTTATATTTGTAAATGATAGAGCCATGGGACTTCTTGCATTAGGTTGCAAGCCATATGACCTTGAAAAAGCCAACCAGAATTGACCTTGTGTGAACAGGAAGTATCTATTTTTTGTATGTACTTATTTGATGTAAAAGTATATAG